TAAAATTCAGATTTTTGAATAATGGATACCTTGCACTGGCTATTTACAACAACAACAATGCAACAACAACAACAACAACAACAGAGAAATGTAACTGAACTATATCATTTAATAGAGAGTTCACTTTAACTTATGGTGGCTGAATTTAAAATCGTATACTTGCATCGTTAGCTCAAGTAGTACTACCTCCAGAAAGATGTTGGATAGTTTAGTGTTCAAGCTTATCTAAAAGAATGTTGTAGGCACATGTAATTGATTTCATTTTTTAAAAGTTTGCCTTAAAAAAATTTGTTCCATAGCTGTAGTTAAATATTTCCTAAGTTACCCAATAGATTGCAGATGTGGTGAGCGGCATAAGAGTGAATCAAATTTTAATAATGGAATAAATAACTTGCTGTGAATGGAAACTTAATGCTATCACTAGCAGGTATTTGCCTTCAAAGCTGTTGTGCAGCAACATTGGTAGTTTTATGTAGTGAGTGTCCTGTATGAATCTTAATTATTGGTGACATTCCTTTAACTTTAAAAAAATGTGTTTTAAGTCTGCTTTACAATTTTAACTGAGGTGTGTGTGTGTGTGGGGGTGTGATTTATGGGTTGCATCTAATGAAGTTGTTCCATTAGCACAAGGACTTCCAGCTGTGCAATGGGACTTCCTTTCTCTTTCCTCTCCCTTTGCACCCACCAATCTGTTTTGGGATGTTGGTGCAATAGGAGAGGAGATGGCGGGCAAGTCTTGTTGTGCAGGCCAATATCCTTACACTAACAGGATGACTGTTTTGGATACAATCAATTCTTTTTCTAGAATTTTCTAGAGCCAGTGTGGTGTAGTGGTTAAGAGCGGTAGTCTCCTAATCTGGGGAACCGGGTTCGCGTCTCCGCTCCTCCACATGCAGCTGCTGGGTGACCTTGGGCTAATCACACTTCTTTGAAGTCTCTCAGCCCCACTCACCTCACAGAGTGTTTGTTGTGGGGGAGGAAGGGAAAAGGAGATTGTTAGCTGCTTTGAGACTCCTGAAGGGGAGTGAAAGGCGGGATATCAAATCCAAACTCCTCCTCTTCTTCTTCTTCTTCTTCTTCTTCTTCTTCTTCTTCTTCTTGCCGTCATAACTGCTAGAAGCTGTGGTGTGTGTGTGTGTGTGTGTGTGTGTGTGTGTCTGTCTGTTTAAGTTTAAGTTTTAATTAAATATCCTAAAAATGACCAACTTGTGCATGGTGTATGTAAGCTCTTACAACATGCCCGGTCTGCTAGTTTTCATCTTGAAGAGATATTTAAGCAACTAGACAATATGAGAGAACATTTGGCAGAAGGAAGCTATCCATAAATAACACTCACTGGGGGTGGGGGGCAGTGCCACAGAAGAAGGAGGGAGGCTTTCAGCTGGTGAATTCTGCCTTTACAACCTATCTTCCTTAGCTGGGCTAAGTGCTAGGAAACTGAGGAAGTAGCCAATGCACCTCTCCTAAATGCCAATGGATAGCTTTGTGTTTATTTTCTGTGTGAGAAGGGTAGCTGCCATGGCTTCAGATGAACTGAATGTCTCAGCCACAAGAGTACCCAGAGTCATAGCAAATTATTTCACTGAGCCATTAAATTCTGTGCCATTAAAAACTTGTTGTTCTGTCTCTTTAGAAGTTGCCAGTGATGATTAAGATATTCTGTGCCACTAATAAAAGTCCAAAATACTGCTTGATTCTAAACATTATGCTGCAATGTATTGATTTGTGATTTTGGTGCACTGGTGTGACACTGGTGTGATGTTTCATTCTTAGCACTTAAGTGTTGGCACAGCTAGTCTCTCGAAGCAGCCTGTTAACATGTTCAGCCGCACAGGATGTTTATGCAGTGATTTGTAGAAGAGAACAACATTTTCCCACAGTATTCCAGCAGGCCCTGTTACATCAAAGGGCAGTTCATTGTTGCTCATCAGATTCTGTATTATTGACTTTTGCGAATATAAGACTGCATGTACACTGGAGGTTATATGTACTTACGTATTATAAAAAAAAAATATTGCCATTAATTTACTTCATTAGAAAATAGAGAATGGCTTTTAAACATGTTTTCTACTGCTCTGACTAGAAATGTTCTTGAACTACAGCAATACAGTGTACCTCAGGTTACATACGCTTCAGGTTACGCGTTTTTGGGTTGCGCACCGCGCCAAACCTGGAAGTACCGGAACAGGTTACTTCCGGGTTTGGGAAGCGCTAAATCACACTTTGCGCATGCACAGAAGTGCTGAATCACGACCCGTGCGTGCACAGGCTTGGTGCTGCGGGTTGTGAACGTGCCTCCTGCACGGATCACGTTCACAACCTGAGGTTCCACTGTAGTAGGATGTGTGGGCCCAGGTTTGGAATAACGAAAATATAAGAGCCAAACTAACAATCAAAGAATCTCAAAGCAGAACCAGGATATAAATCTAATAAGATAATGGTAATAATAATTTCACTAACAATATGACAAATTTCGGGAAACCTTTGGGGCCCACAATAAAAATTGTAGATGACTGGAGTCAAGTGGATAGCCACGTCTGCACTAGAAAATTGCATTTTGCCAAGATCTTATACCATAACCATTGAAATGGTTTCGGTTGCATGAAAACCATTTCTTAACTCCATGGGTGGTTTTCCTTACCCACAACAGCCTTTATCTCCCCCCACCCCCCACCCTCATATTGCATTTTTAAACATCTAGCCTGATGAAAAGTTCTGGGGAAACAGAAAACTTATTTTGTGGTACTGTATTTTTTGCTCTATAAGACTCACTTTTTCCCTCCTAAAAAGTAAGGGGAAATGTGTGTGCGTCTTATGGGGTGAATGCAGCCTGCGCAGCTATCCCAGAAGCCAGAACAGCAAAAGAGATTGCTGCTTTCACTGCACAGTGATCCCTCTTGCTGTTCTGGCTTCTGAGATTCAGAATATTTTTTTTCTTGTTTTCCTCCTCCAGAAACTAGGTGCATCTTGTGGTCTGGTGCATCTTATAGAGTGAAAAATATGGTATATTGGTTGCTCCAATAAATATATTACCCTAATAAAGATTTTTTTAAAATAATAAAATGGACCAGCATGGCTGCTTTTACTCTTGGCATAACTGTAACTTCATCGCATGCTAAAGGAAGTTGTGTGGCTGTAGTTTGTCACTATAAAGCAAGGTAAAGGTAAAGGGACCCCTGACCATTAGGTCCAGTCGCGGATGACTCTGGGGTTGCGGCACTCATCTCGCTTTATTGGCCGAGGAAGCCGGCGTACAGCTTCCGGGTCATTGCCAGCATGACTAAGCCGCTTCTGGCGAACCAGAGCAGCGCACGAAAACGTCGTTTACCTTCCTGCTGGAGTGGTACCTATTTATCTACTGGCACTTTGATGTGCTTTCAAACTGCTAGGCTAGCAGGAGCAGGGACCGGGCAACGGGAGCTCACCCCGTTGCGGGGATTCGAACCGCCGACCTTCTAATCGGCAAGCCCTAGGCTCTGTGGTTTAACCCACAGCACCACCCGCGTCCCTATAAAGCAAGGTATAACTGAGCAAATCCTTAGAAGAGGCTTTTAAAGTCCTTTCCATAAAATGGCCAGACTTTGTTATACTGCACTAGAATTTTGTTTCCTGGAGATAAAGATAGCCTTACTGACCACGCAAATTCTGTTTTATAATGGTCTGCTGAAGATCAGGACATTATGTATATTTTGTTCTTACTTTTTACAAGTCCATAGACACTCTTAATTCCTTTTTTATCCATGTTAATCTGTTCTCTCATGTATTTAGTGGAAGAGGGCACATCTCAATCAATGACTTTCCATATTGTAATCTCAAACTCCCTTACTTTGTGAAATGAGGAATCAAATTGTCATTTTTACAATCTTTCTGCATTCAACATTTATGGGTCCACTGATACAAAATTTTGTGAACTCCTCATATATCCACAGACATAACCAGCAGAGTTAATAAGTTCTGTGTTGGTTACATGTTCTGCTTCAGTTATAATAATCTTAAATGTAGAAGAGATTTGCAGAAAAACTCCTAAACAGCTCATTCTACAAAGTTATGCATTTACACATACTGTATTGGCAATGGACAGAGATGTTGTTGGCAAGCTGTTACCTGTTAGTATCAATTCCTGTTGTGCAAAATAGAAAAAGTCATTACCTACTTCACTATTTGCAAGGATCAGTAAAAGGTAAACAATTGAAATGACTTTGTGTGCTAAAAGTGCTATGGAGAAGATAAAAACTGAACACAAAGTGGATTATCTCTATGCTGTCATACCCTTGCTGACATACAAGCACTATTAATGAACTTCAAAACTGTGCAGGAAGATTTGGAAAAAAGATTATCTCAAATGTTACATGCTTGCATCTCTTGTTTCTTTCCACTCAGACCATATGCCCATGAATTCGGGGAAATGTGCTTTGCCTCTGAGTTAGAAATCTGTAGGGAAAAAGAATTATAATGAAGTTAGAAATTGTTGAAGTATCTAGTTGTATTTATGTATAGCTTAAACTTAAGGAACAATCCTTTAGAGGGGAAAAGATTACATTAGTTTTGGGAAAGTGATGGAAATCTAAGTTGCTAAACATCACATTTAATTTCTAGTGGGGCTGGCACAGTGCTTGGGGATTTCTGCAGCTCTGCAACTACTTTAACTACTTGCTGAGTGTACTAAACTACCGTATATCTATATTGAACTGTACTTTTCACCTCCACACTGTTGTGGTTTTCCTAAAGGGTATATCAGCAACAGACCAGAATGCCAAAGAAAATACTGACTATTCCACTTGCTGAGGAAAGGGGCTATGCTTCTGTTTTCTAAAAGCCTGGCTGTATTTTATGCAGGCAATTTATGTATACCAAATAGACCTCCATCCCTGGGCTTCAGAAAAGGGGTCAAAGGCACTGGCCTTGTGACTTCATGTTGAGGTTTGCAGTGAGAAGGTTTACACTGGCCTGCTTTGTACATCATAGTAAGTCAAGGACTGTGCAAATGTGGGGGGCTACTGGAGAGAAGCTCTGAGCTGCTCCTGCACCATGCTGACTTAAGCCAAGGTATGGCTTGGGAGTGAAAAAGACTGGGGAAGAGCAAAGCAGCTACAGATTCTTCTCCAGGAATCCACAAATTTGTGCAGTTCCAGCAAGACACAGTTTGGGAAATTGTAGTATGTGAACCAGACTCGGTTTCCCTCACTAGGATTTGATTTGATTAGTTACTAATAAGGAAACTCTTGGGTGGTTTTTGTGATTCAAACATTTGACCTGAGATAAGGATACACTTTCATGGCCTGCTCCAGGAGAGATGAGCAAGGACAAAATATTATGACAGCTTTTCAGTAACTGTTTGGGCTTGAAAATAGAATATGGCATTATTGTCTCTAATTAGACCTTTAGTGGCTATGGCAGAACAGCTGAAAACTGTGCAAAAATAGAACATAATTTTATTGGATTGCATACACTGAGCTATAGGTACATGCCAAATCAAATATTGGGAAGTAGTATCGCCATGTTGCTCCATAAAGAAGAAATCTATGGCCCTCCAAATGTTGTTGAATCCCTTCTCTCATCAGCCCCAACCAGCATGGCAAATGGCTAAGAACAATGGGAGCTATAGTCCAACAAATCACAGTTTCCCACCCCTGCTGTAAAATATTTTAGAGTGAGACCCCTGTGGCAATTTTGCGTTTCTGGAAAATTTGATATTTCAAAACTGACTTGATGGCTTAGGGATCAGTATGATTTGTTTGTAGTGCATGGCACTATACAGTGGTGCCTCAGTTTAAGAACAGCTTAGTTTATGAACAACTTGGATTAATAATGCTGCAAACCCGGAAGTAGGTGTTTTGGTTTGTGAACTTTGCCTTAGAATAAGAACATGTTTTGCTTCCTGTTGAGTGTGTTCCATTTGTAAATTGAGCCCTCTGCTACTATGGAAAAGCACGCCTTGGTTTAAGAACACTTTGGTTTAAGAACAGACTTCCGGAACAGTTTAAGTTTGTAAACCAAGGTACCACTGCATATGGAATAATGCCAATTAGCATGTTACATAGATTCAGGGAAGGCAGGTGCATCAATGAGCATTGCTTCCATTTCTATATTAATAACTGAAGTGGGACTCTCCCCTCTAGTGAGATCCATGGGTTCCCATTTCACACCACATGTCTGATGAAGCCTTAGAAACTAGATCTCAGTTCCTGTAATGTACAGTATTCAAAAAAGGGGAAGAGATTGAGGCTGTTTATATGTTACTAGTTTAAAACACTGTTAGGTTATTCTTTTTCTCAGCTCAGATCAAAGTTGGTCTTTGGGGAAATGTAACAAAATGAAGCATTTCATAAGATGTGGCAGGGTAGATATAAGATAGCTATGGATTGTGGCTATGGTTGTGTGTACACTTCTTCCCAAACGAGCAGCTTTAGCACATTGGATGGATAATGCATGTACAGCCTGGGATTGAACATCCCAGTTCCTCTAATGAACTGCATGACTTGGTCCCACTTAGTTTGAACTGGGCACTCTCGTTTTGAGCCAGGTTGAGCTCCATTTTTTGAATTACAGATTGTTTGGAGAACTGATAATTATTTTCTTTAAGTTGTATGGAGTGATCTGTACAGGTTTTAAAGGGGAAAATACGTAGTTTTACATGTGAACATGTCTTTGTTTGACTTTGGATGCATGACTCAAACTTGATAATTCACAAGGCTAAACATTGTCTGGATACATATATCAAGAGTCTGTTTATTTACCAAACTAATTTAGATTTGTTTATGGTGTCCTCTGTGTTTATGGCTCTCCCTGAACCTTCTTCTGACCAAAAATCATGTGGCTTTTACATATCTAAAGTTTAAAAAACACAATAATTAAATGTTTATTGAGCAGCTAACTGCTAATTAATTATGTTTGTGAATTTATCGCTGATGCCTGTATTTGCTATAAATGTTTCTGTTCCAAATTCCCTTCCTTTGCTATTACTGCTATTCATAAATGTACTGACATTGCCTTGAGATTGAAATTTGTTATGTTGCTGATGTTTCTTCCAGTCCAAGACATGATTTTTCCGAATCAGGACACTTTAGAGAGAGAATTTGTTGACATAAAAACATTCACTGCTAATGTCAACTTACTGTGAAAACAATGACAGATGAGTCACTGCAAACAGCCATGAACACTCTATAAATGTTGATTTAGAATTGTACCATGCCACACATCTTATGCATGCCCCTGATTACCATGTTTATTAACTTGGATTGCATATGTGCCTCAGGTCTCCCGGTGGAAGGAGAACCTCATACGCTATTGAAAAGCCAGTCCCTATTCTAAAACAGTTGTGGCCTTTAAAAAAAGAGTCGGTGAAAGTGTTGATGGAGCTGACTCAGAAAGATTCCTAAACATGATCTTAAAATGTAAGATAAAATCCAATAACAACTTTTTAAATGCACTTTTTCTAATTGACAACTAGAACTGTGCATATGCCCATTGGTTTCATACAGAGTCTCTACTGGAACTGTTGAAGTTTGTGTTGAGCATTCTTCGTTGTTGTTGTTGTTGCTGCTGCAATGTGTGTGTGTATGCGTTTATTCTCTTTCCTCTTAGGACCTTCCACAAACTGTAATGCAGACGTGGTGTTACTGTTGCTACTTAAATTCTCATGGAAGAAGAAACCAGTTTGAAATATCTTTGGGATGGTTTGCATGTTTGGCCAGAGAGATAGGATGTACTAAGGCCTGTACTATTTGTCTGCTGTTGCACACCTGAAGTAGCATTTTTAATCAAGGTATACACATAAACAACATACCCAAATTCCACCATCTTTCCTTCTTGATGGCCATCACTTTATGAGGAGGTGGAATCAGGAAGTAGGCTACATCACATGCATATCATGAATGTGGCCAATCCATCCTCCTCAGTGCACAGACAGAGGTGGTTTTACGGTAGTGCAAGCAGTTCGGCCACGTTGAGTGCACAGGGGGCACTGCAACAATGATGTAGAACAGAGCCCGAGAGGGGGTGTGTGAATTTTAGCATCGCAAAGGACGCCACTGAAATTTGAGAGATCCAAGTCTGCCGCTACGCATAGATAAGGTCTTAATGCAATGTTACAGTTAACTCAGGGATCATCAACACAACCCCCTCCAGATGTTATTGGACTCCAGCTCCCATCAGGGCCGTCTTTACCCAGGGGTGCAAGGGGTGCAGAATTCTGGGGGTTGCCAGGCACCTGCCGCTGAAGCCGCCTAAGCTCTTAACTATCCGTGATCACTGGGTCATTTCCGTTCTCTTTTGCGGAAGAGCTGCAGAATAAATGTATCTGGCAGCGCCCCTAGTGGTGTCTTTCATTTTTGCATGATTGCAAAAACGGAAGACGGAGTTTTCGCTGCTGCTTTTTATTTTTTCATGTTAGCGGTTTTTGCTGCTCCCTCTCCTTAAAAGCTCAACAACTTAAACTTGTGCCCCTAAAGAAAGCTCAACAACTTTGATCTGCCCCCCCAGGGGGGTGCTGGGCGGATCTTTGCAACCCGGTGGTGAATATGCTACAGACAGCCCTGGCTCCCATCACCTCAAGATCTGGAGGACCCATTGATTATCTCTGCATTACCGTATTTTTCGCCCTATAGGACGCACTTTTTCCCCTCCAACAATGAAGGGGAAATCCGTGTGCATCCTATGGGGCGAATGCAGGCTTTCGCTGAAGCTTGGATAGCGAGAGGGGTCGGTGCGCACTGACCCCTCTCACTCTCCAGGCTTCAGGAAGCTATCAGCAAGCCTGGGGAGCCCTGCTGGAGTTCCCGCAGGGCTCCCTAGGCTGCGGATAGCAGCCTGCTGCCTGGAGCGCGGGGCGAGCTGAAGCTGCGGCTGGGGGAATAATTTTTTTTTTTATTTCCCCCCCCAAAAACTAGGTGCGTCCTATGGGCCAGTGCATCCTATAGGGCAAAAAATACAGTAATTCACTTTTTGTGATTCTCTCTTTTTTTAAAAAAGATATTTATTATGAGTTTACAAGTTACAGAAAAAGAAAGAGAACAATAAAGAATTAAACAAAACAAAACAATACCTTACAATACATAAAAAAACCAAAAAACACACAAAAAAACAATACAATAAAATAACGAAAAAACAGAACAAAAACATTTAAAAACACATCCAACTTTTCCATGTCTTTACCTTTCATATACTTGTTTCATCGACCTCCTCACACCTCCCTTTTTGTATTCTAGTTCAATTAGCTATTTCAGCAAGTCCTTTCCATCTTTCTCAATTTTCATTCTAAAATTTAACTTAAAACATTCTAACCTTAAATTTTCCACTTTGGTCCATTAATAATCTATTTTTACTTAATTCTTTATAACATTTCTGCTAAAGCCATATAGCTTCGTTCCAGCATCCTTCTAACATTCATTAATTTTACAATATTTCTGTAAATATACTTTAAATTTTATCCAATCTTCTTCTACCGACTCTTCTCCCTGGTCTCGGATTCTGCCAGTCATTTCCGCCAGTTCCATGTAGTCCATCAGCTTCATCTGCCATTCTTCCCTGGTGGGTAGATCTTGTGTCTTCCAGTGCTTTGCAATAAGTATTCTTGCTGCTGTTGTGGCATACATGAAAAAAATTCTATCCTTCTTTGGCACCAATTGGCCTACCATGCCCAGGAGAAAGGCCTCTGGTTTCTTTAGAAAGGTATATTTAAATACCTTTTTCATTTCATTATAGATCATCTCCCAGAATGCCTTAATCTTTGGGCATGTCCACCAAAGGTGAAAGAATGTACCTTCAATTTCATTACATTTCCAACATTTATTATCGGGCAAATGGTAAATTTTTGCAAGCTTGACTGGTGTTATGTACCACCTATAAATCATTTTCATTAAATTCTTTTTTAAGGCATTACATGCCGTAAACTTCATACCAGTGGTCCATAACTGTTCCCAGTCAGCCATCATAATATTATGTCCAACATCTTGTGCCCATTTAATCATAGCAGATTTCACCGTTTCATCTTGAGTATTCCATTTCAGCAGCAAGTTATACGTTCTTGACAAATTCTTAACTTTAGGGTCTAACAATTCTGTTTCCAATTTTGATTTTTCCACCTGGAAGCCTAATTTTTTGTCCAAATTATATGCCTCCATTATTTGATAATAATGGAGCCAATCTCGTACTCTGTTTTTTAATTTTTCAAAGCTCTGCAATTTTAATCTGTCTCCCTCTTGTTCCATACTTTTTGTGATTCTCTTTCACCAAAACACACATACATCTTTCACTGCAATGCAGCCACTACTGCACATTCGCACCAACATTTCCAAGATACAAGCAAAACAAGTTCACTAAAGAGCTTATTGGGACAGGAAATATGAATGTGTGTTCCATGGCTAATAAAACATTTTCAGAGAGCTGGAAGCAGTATTATAAACTTATCTTCTGCATGTAGTCCTATTTACTGTGTTTGTGGGATTACATCTCTGAGGACTGCAATTTTTATATAAATTCATTGACCATATACACTGTTGTAGTGGCATGCAAGAGAAAGATTATTTTAAATAAGCGTAAACTTCCTGTTTTTGGTTTCCCTCCCCAAATTCAGTCACTAACAGATGTTTTTTGAGCGGATGTTTATCGCTATTTGTGTGTTGCTGCTGGTGTGTTTTCTTTTGGTCACCATCTTTTAACGATTTTACATGGTTTTATATGGTTTCGTATCTTACACAATGATGTAGTTAAGTTTAATCTTTACAGAACAAATGAAAATTCATACCCTTGTCCAAACAATTATATTTTCTATAAGCATGTCGGCGTTGGTTATTGGTTGCAGTCTTGCTTTAAGCTACCCAACTAAATTGTGGTACCAACATTTCTCATGTGTTGGGTTGCACAGTCTCTGTTCTTCTGGGTACAATATAAGCCTACCTGGTTTGCTGTCATTTGCTTATTTTTTAGATTGCCTTGTTCATTCTTCTCCCAACCTTTAATTATACAGTTTATGCAATTATTCATAGGTGGTTTTTTTTTTAAAGGCAGCAGTCCAGCAATATAACTGGGGGAGTAAAGTTCATTAGGAAAGTAGGGAAACAGCTTTTTTGGGTGACATGACAACTTACACTGTAAAAGTAGATCTGTAAAAGGGGAGATGTTCAGGAACAAAAGCAGTTCAACCCCTGAAATATGCCAACATATATTTGAACTGTGTTCTGCTACCATGTAGACTAGTTATTATTAAGCTAATGAATCATGTTAGTATTCAGTTGCTACATGCATTGGTTTTTTTGCAGATTTATTTAAATAAACTTAATTATTATTATTAATAATAATAATATCTGGAGTCCGTATTTCCAACTTGTCACAGTTAAGGTTGTATAAATACAGTGGTGCAAGTGATCAAGATAAATGATGACATTTTATGGGTTTTAGCTGCTTCTTTTGAAATCTGCTACTGCAGTAGCTTATAAATGTAGACAGAAGTTGGCTACTGCTTATGCCAAGTCATATGAACTTCACCACAGCAGAAGTGCAGTTCCTGTGTTTCTTCTGTGAGATATGAATCCAGATGGATGAGAAAATATAACTGAAATGGAGTGGAAAAGAGTGTCCTATTTCTAACAACCCTCAGAGGAGATATCTTTGACTGTTTTTTCTCTAAACTTTAGAAAAAATCCTTATTAACCTGAACTCTTCAGGCAGTTCTATGCTTTTACATATAGTCCTGCCACTGACAAGAGTATTTTATAGATGAAGTTTTCTTATACTGAATCAGACCGTTGATCCATTTAGCTGAGTACCCTTCAGACCATGTGCACTGTCATTCTTGGCCATTGCCAATTCAGGCTGGGACTGGTGGGATTTGGAGTCTGAAAACAGCTAGTCTATGCTATGTTGGCTACCATGGATTTAGGATCTAGTCTCCTCTATCCTCACTTTAGTTGGGTTGAGTAGGTCATATGCAAATTCATCTGGCTCCCATTTTCTTGACACGATTGCCCTTAATTTGCAAGTGGGCAATTAGACTGCAGATTAGCAGGCATTGTTTCATCAACAACAGCCTTTCTGGGGTTTTTTTGGTATTTCATTTAGTTTAACTCAGTATATAAATTTCAGCTAGGATGTGGAAATCAAAGTTTAAAATCTCATATGCTAGCTGAAGCCTGGAAAATAAATCATGGAGCCTCACATGGGACTGTGCACAATGGGTCTGTAAATTTCAGATGCTTTGTGGTGTTTCTTAAAATTAGAAACCATAAACCATGAGGAGTTGCATATATGTGACATAATATCTCAGTGCCATTGGAGGGACCATTATACAGTATATCCTTACATTTGGCTCTGTTACTTTCTTAGTCATTCACTGTGACCTCTCTCTCTCTGTCTGTCGTGTGTGTGTGTGTGTGTGCGCATGTCACATTAGAACGCCGCAACCCCAGAGTCATCCGCGACTGGACCTAACAGTCGGGGTACTTTTACCTTTTTACAACTCTATGAAACTTAGTGGTTGGCATCACACCTTGAATTCTGAAGCCATTAAAGCAGCACTGAATGTAAAAACCTGAATGCGAAAACCTGGGCATAGCCTGGGCAGGGAAAATTGTGCGGTATTCATATGGGGTGTTTGGCTGTGTGTGTGTGTGTGTGTGTGTGTGAGAGAGAGAGAGAGAGAGAGAGAGAGAGAGAGAGAGAACTCTCTAGGATGGTTGCCACTATGTCCAACCTTTGTTTTGTATAATGCAGAAGCAGATTCCCCCGTTACCCAAATCATACTCCGTTATCCGCTTCTTTTAGACCCTTTATTAATGGATAATGGGAAAGTAAGATCCAAACATACTGAAACAAGGTCACCTTGGTGCATTTTCCTTCTGACATTCGAGGATGTCCAAATGCAGATAATGGATTTTGTAACAGACAGTTGTTAAATGTCATCTCCTGCCTTAGCCAAGCTTTTGCATTGCTGGTAAATACCATGCTACAGGGTGGCAGAACAGATGGAGAAAAATGCAGTACTAAGCCCTCAGGGAATCTAGAGTTTTCATTCCTTTCACCAGTGCTTTTTTTCCTGGTGGTACTCAAGGGTATTCAGCACCAGCACTTCTTTTCCTACAAGAAAAGCACTGGTTAACTGTGTGACACTTACTGCAACAACTTCATGGTGAGTACAGGTACCAGCACCATTTTTTCTAGAAGAAAAGCACCGCCTGCTACATTTATGTTATTCAGGAAGTTAATGTTGCCATTTTGTGATTGACAGCTAGAAACGTTAAAACTCCCTGCACGAGGTGTAGAGCTTCCTCTTTTTGCTCCGTGCATCAGATTGCCCGTCCCCCCTCCCTATATTTAGGGTTGTTCTCATTGACCTTGCTATGCCTGTCATGGGGTCGTCTGCTCTTGGAGCAGGGGCCCAGTAGGAATTTTGTCCATTTGGCTGATTGGCTGGGGCCATTTGTTTTTTGCCTACTGCGTAGCAAATCGTCACAACTTGTAAGGTTGCGGTTAGGCATTGGTTTTTGGTTTGTTTGGTTGCGGGGCATGTATTGGCTGTGCCTGCCCCTCTAATGCTGCTGCTGCAAGGGTATTCCGTTAAAGGAATACAGGGGCTCATCATTGCTTTTGTCCGAACCCTGTCAAGGGGCTAGGGCCACACAAGAGCCCCTGGTTGCATTTGGGGAGGGCTGAGGGCAGGTTCCCTGCTCCGTCGTTATCCCCAAAATGTATTCCCCTTTTCTGACTTTCGCAGGCTTGTGAAATGTCAGTCTGTCCCCGCTGGGGGCAGATAGTCACAACCAATGCCTAAGCAACCACTCACATTTTTTGTATTTTAATAAAGTTGTGGCCAAAATTATGCCAAAAACCTTAAACAAAAATTTCTGTGTGATGTGTGAGTTATTTGGGGTGGCTTGGGGACCTCGACACGCAACCTTCTCAAAAACTCTTAAACTAAATGCAACTCTGGGACATGCAGAATGCTCAGCAGTGCCCCATCTGAAGAGTGCAGATGCTGGGCAGAGATGTGAAGGGCAAGGGCTTAAAGCTCTTAGGGCTTTAAAGGCAAAACCTTGAAATGTGCCTGGTAGCATATTGCCA